GGAATTACAGGCACGTGCTACCACGCCCGGCTAATTTTTTTGATTTATTGTAGAGATGAGGTCTCGCCAAGTTGCCCAGGCGGGTCTCGAACCCGTGGGCTCAGGCAATCCACTCACCTCAGCCTCCCAAAGTGCTGAGATTACAGGCTGAGCCACCAAGCCCGGCTTCCTGGTGGATTTTATACATGAAAGAGGAAAGCAGGAGAGCCAGTGTCACAGTGACACCATGTGAAGAAAGACTTGACCAGCCACTGCAGCCAAGGGATGTGATAGCCCCTAGAAACTGGAAAAGGCAAGGAAACGGATTTTCCCCAGGGCTTTCGGGAGCATGGCTCTGCTGACACCTCACCTTTAGCTTAGTAAACTCACTTTGGAATTCTGACCTCCAGAATAGCAAGATAATGTGTTGCTTTTAAGCCACCAGGTAATGGGCTGCAGTGGCAACAGGAAACTAACACAGGTGGCCATTCTTTGGCATATATTTAAATATTTTTAGAGGATGAAAATATTCTCTAAATTTCTGTTTATTTTTTAGAGTTGGAGTCTCACTCCATCGCCCAGCCTGGAGTGCAGTGGCACACTCACGGTCACTCAGCATTGACTTGCTGGGCTCTGGTAATCCTTTCGCCTCAGCCTTCCAAGTAGCCAGAACTACAGGTGTGCACTACCACACCTGGCTAATTTAAAAAAAAAAAATTTATTATAGAGATGAGGTCTCACCAGGTTGCTCGGACTGGTCTCGAACCTGCAGGCTCAGGCAATCCACTCGTCTTGGCCTCCCAAAGTGCTGGGATTACAGGCTGAGCCACCAAGCCCGGCTAAATTTCTGTTTAAATGCCAAAGTATTGCTGCAGTTGGGAGGACCACACATGGAAGCCTAAGGACATTTCTATTTCTAGGCCCTTTCATTGTCCTTTAGCAGGACAGTGGGATTCAAGGTGAATTTCCCACAGTAGGATAACCACAAGCAGACAGAGAATCAGGAAGTCTCTTATCAAAGCAGACAGGCATCAGTACTACCCAAACACATACACCCTTTTCTGGCTGGACAGATTGCAAATTATTTTCTCCTCCCAGGGGACAGGCACATGTTTATCTAGTGGTCAGTAGAAGTCCCTACCCAGGTATCCAAACTAGGTAGCATGAGCTGTTACTAAGTCTGGTGAAAAAGCTATGGTGGTTATACATTTGACCTCTTAAATGCACAGGACCACCAAATAAATAATAAAAAGGCAAACTGTCATTTTCATCCAGGGGATCCCAATGAGAGCAGAGACCTTGGGCAGGCTCCTAGGAATTGGAACTGTCACTCTGAAGAGGGCAAGCCTCTTTTCATCACTCCAAATCCAGGGCTTACTGCAGCCCTGTGCTGGGGGACTCAGGTCTCTCTCCTCTCATGACGGGCTGCTTAATGACACAACCTGAGTTTAGAAGGACATGCACTGTGATGACTGTATCTAGATCAGAATCTACTGTTTTCAATGTCTCACCATCTGAATGAGTCCACTGGGAAATGTGAGGTTGGTGGTGTCCAGGAAACTTTTCTGCTATTCCTTCCATATAATTCCTCTTCTTTAGGATTTCTGGTCACAAATACTAACGGGTGTCTCAGTGCCCTGTTTTATGCATCTCAGCAACGTTTTTCAGATGGGTCCAAGTTATTCTGCTGGCTCCACTGGCTCCTGAATGTCCAGCCAAGGAATGTCTGTGCTGTTGCCATTGTAGATGCCCACAGCAGGGCCCTTGTTTGCCTTGCTTACATCCCCGTTGTTGGGGTGGGAGAAGGTATATAGTTCACTCTCAGACTCAGGAGGGAAGCAAGGGGACGGCTCATCAGTGGTCAACTTTGCAGTTGGGGCCCTGGAGCATATGACGGGTGGGGAGGGAGGGCAGTCCCCCATGGCACCCTGGAAGGGCCGGTAGGTGTCCACTTCCTGCTGGAGGAAGGACCCGTTGGAATCCTGTAGCAAATGCCCATACACCATGGTGTCATCGATGACTGCGTAGACGTGAGAGTCATTGTCCTTTCGTCCTTTCTGAAACTTTTTTGGTTGCTTCGGCATTTCGGTATTGATGTTGCCATTGTAGATACCCACAGCAGGGCCCTTGTTTGCCTTCTTTTTCCTATTTGGAGAAAGGAAACAAGAAAGAAACCAGAAAGGAAACAATCTTAGAGGTGTATCATTTATATAGCCCTACCAGAGCTTGGAGTTTGTGGGGTTCTGACCAAGTCTCCCCCAAGTCCCTTAAATCACTTAGCATTTGAAACTGAGAGGTCACAGGTAGCAGGCAGTGGTTTAGAGAGGGTACCTTTAACACTATTTGTGCTCAATTCATTTTTGATAGATGCATGGTAACCAATGGTGGAGACATCTGATAATCTCTTTCCTCTCTTTTCCACTAGCAACAGGTGGTATCCCAGTCTTCTAGACCACACCAGGTTGAGGCACGCCCAGGTTACACTTCCAGGTTCTCGAAACTCTCCTGTAGCTAATGCTTCATCCTTCTTTGACATGGGGAAATGCCCTGACCATCTAGATTCTAAATGATCATATTGGTACTCAGGAGGGAAGGTAGTGTCTTTGTTTTCAGCCCAAGATGAGGAGTGTAGAACTCAGTATTAGCTGAAACCCAGTGTCTCAGCAATAACCTCCAACAGAGAAAAGAGCTAAAAAGAAGACAAAATTCAGGCTGCGGTGCCAGAGTTCTTCAATAACACCATTAGCATCTGGTTTGTAATGTTCTTTAGGGACGTGGATGGGCATTAGTGCTCCCTGCCACAGAAAACAGCGCTTTGCCCTCCATCTCCACCAGCCAAACAGCAGAGATTGCTGACGTTTTAGTTGACCAGCAATGCAAATGGGGGACATTAGCTCAATTAGTGTAATGGGCCATAGAACACACAGGCTGATGGCTCACTAATTGTGGACAGGCTCTCTGTACTTTTCTGAGATAAAAATACATCTAGTACCTTTAGCTTGTAACACTGTCTGGACAGGATGATGAGTTCCTAAGGCTCCTCCCTGAAGCCTGGAATGCATCTCACCACCAAAGTTCTTCTCATGAAGAGCTGTCCTGAAACTGCCTGTTTATTTGCCAGCTTTGTCAGTCCCCTACCCCCATGGGTGGTAGAGGAGATTGTGTCTTTCTCTCCTCACATGGGTCCTAGTGCCCAGGAGACACTCAGGAAATACCCACTTAGTGAACAAGTTTGATGTACTGTGTCCCTTTGTTCTCATTGCAAAACCCATCTGTCTTCCTATACCGGTATGGGGACAGACGGGCCTTATATAAACCTGCCAGCCAGCAGCCTCACACAAGCAGGGCCCACAGCAAGGCCGGAGCTGGGGATTCTCTAACCAAAAACTGGAGATGAGGCAAGGGCTGGACCCCTTCCTTCGCTCAATTCCCTCCTGATGAGGAAGCTGAGGCCCTGTATTAATACCACGCTTTCCTAACTGAATGGGGCATTCTGCACATATCAGAAAAGGCAGTTTCCTGAAAATAACATGTTTCATTGAAAGAAGCCCTTTCCCCCTGTGTGATATAGGTATCCACATAGCCACATCTCATGATCATGGTATCTCCCTTGCCAGGTAAGTATACACATAGCCACATCTCATGGAGAAAAGACCTCTCTGTGGATCTGCTGTGAGCCAGTCCTTCCTCTCAGTGGAGACGTGTTTAGACAGTCTCATTGCAGACTAGGAATTTTAGATGTCTGCTCAGAACAATCATTAATTAATTTTTTTTTTTTTTTTTGAGTTGGAGTCTCATTCCGTTGCCCAGGTTGGAGTGCAGTGGCACACTCATGGCCACCCCAGCACCGACCTGCTGGGCTCTGACAATCCTTCTGTCTCAATCTTCCAAGAAGCCAGAACTACATGTGTGTGCTACTGTGCCTGGTTAACTTTTTTTTTTTTTTTGAGTTGGAGTCTCACTCTGTCACCCAGACTGAAGTGCAGTGGCCACTCCCGGCCACCGCAGCCTCGACCTGCTGGGCTCCGGCGATCCTTCCGCCTCAGCCTTCCAAGTAGCTGGAATTACAGGCAGGCGCTACCACGCCCAGCTGATTTTTTTTTTTTTTTCCCAGTTGGAGTTTGATTTATTGTAGAGATGAGGTCTCGCTGCCCAAGCGGGTCTCGAACCCGCAGGCTCAGGCAATCGTGGCTAATTTTTGATTTATTGTAGAGACGAGGTCTCACCAAGTTGCCTGGGTGGTCTCGAACCTGAGGGCTCAGGCAATCCACTTGCCTCGGCCTCCCAAAGTGCTGGGACTACAGGCTGAGCCACGGAGCCTGGCCGCTTTCGTTAATTTAAACAATTTTTATTTTATTTTTAAGAGGGAGGGTCTTGCTCTGTCACTTAGGCTGGAGTGTAAGTGGCATGGTCATAGCCCACTGCAACTTTGAATTCCTGGGCTCAAGTGATCCTTCTGCCTCAGCCTCCTGAGTAGCTGGGACTACAGATGCAAACCACCACACCTGGCTAATTTTTAAATTATTTTTTTGTAGAGCTAGGGTTCTCACTGTGTTCCCAGGCTGGTCTTGACCTCCTAGCCTTAAGTGATCCTCCCACCTTGGCCTCCCAAAGTGCTGGGATTATAGGCATGAACCACTGTGCCTAGCCAGAAATTTTTTTGGTTGGCTTTTTGGAAGGTCAAATCATGCTAAAGAAAACAGATCTCATCTTTCCTCCATGGCTTTAATCAGAAATATGAGTAGAATTTGTAAAATTTTGATGGCATGTGGACTTTGTCTAGAAAAATCAACATTTTCTTTTCATAAAATAGAAGCTGTTGTGCTGAGGACATGGCAGGTAAGACTGGGGCAGTTTACTGGGTCTTCCTTCTTCTCATTCATAGGCCTGGTCTCTGGTACTTTAAGTAGAATAAACAGGCATAAAGCAGTTTGTTTAAGAAATTGCAGGAGAACAAGCAGGGACAACATACATTTGTTCCCCTTAAGGTAAAGAAGGGAGTGGTTTCAGAGACATGGTCTGGCAGAGCCCACGTGAGCATTTTCTTGCCAAGCTCACCCCAGCAATGGTCAATCTAATGCACAAACAATAAGCAATTCACAGGGCACTGGTGCTGAGGCAGCTGTACAATAAACTGCAGGCAAAAATGTCATGTGTTTTTTTATCCCCATCCCCCCAACCCCAGGTATGGGACTTTTTACCCCTCCTAAAAGCTTAACTCATATCTGGCAATATTATTTATTCATCTTTGGGAGGGGGTAAAATGGGAAGAAAGAAAACCATTAACAATACACCTGGTCTGTGCAATCTGAGGAGGTGTCTAATCAGATAATGAGTTTAAGAGATTCCACCTACTTCTTTTTCACAAAGCAGATGATGAGTCCGAGGGCAAACAGCAGTAAGGCTCCACCTCCTATCGCTGCGATAAGGACAACAGTCATGTCTGTGAGCAGAGACACAAGGAGACACATGAGGAGACACATGGGGTTAGCCCAGTAATGAACTTGAGTAGTCTTCAAAGATGGCTGCCATCAACCCCTTCCCTCCTGAATGCACATATAGCTCTTCACATCATGAGGTGTCTATTTCCCTTCCTCTTTAATCTGGACTCACCAATTGAAGGTGGCTGTGCCAATTTTGGGCCTAACTTTTAAGAGGGCATCAGCCTGCACTTTCTCTCTGATGGAAAGGCAGCCGCTATGCAAAAAATATGACTATGATGAGACCACTGAATTATGAGAAAGCCCAAACTAGCTATGTGGAGACTCCATGAAGAAAAAAAACCCAACACAGCCCAAAGTGAGAACAAAGGCCCCAGACATATGTCTCCAGTTGAACCATCCCAGCCATCTTCTATCTATTCAAGGCACCTGCTGGGACCCTAGATATCCTGGAGCACAGATGAGCCACCCTGCTGGGCCCTGTCTTAATTCCTGACCTACAAATGGTGGGCAAACAAAAACGGTTATTGTCTAAGCCACTAAATTTTGGGGTAGTTTGTATATAGCAATAAATAACTGAAATAAACTTGAGGGACCTACCAGATCTACTCCAAAGGCTACTCCTGGCCTATCCCAGGTATGTTCCACCAATCACCATGGCCTGTCTTGGAGAGAAGAAAAGCAGGAGAGTATAGAAGAAAGCAGAGACTCAAAAGTCAGAAGCGAAGGAGTTAAGGAGAGAGCTGTTCCATCTGTGCTGTCCTTTTCCTACAGTTGTACAAAGGAAAAAGAAAATAAATCAGAGAGGGAACTCAGAGAGCCAGGCATGGTAGCTCATTCCAGCACTTTGGTAGGCCAAGGCGGGATGATTGCTCAAGGCTAGAAGTTCAAAATTAGCCTGGGCAACATAGTGAGACCCCCATCTCCACAAAAATTTTAAAAATTAGCTAGGCGTGGTGGTGTGTGCCTGTAGTGCCAGCTACTTGGAAGGCTGAGGTGGGAGGATTGCCTGGGCCTAGGAACTTGACGTTATAGTGAGCTATGATCACGCCACTGCACTCTACCGTGGGTGACAGAGTGAAACCCCTGTCTTTTTCTTAAAAAAAAAAGAGAGGGAATTCTACCAAATAGAGATTTAGACTTTCTTGCTTATTCCCCAAGAAAAGAAAAAAAAATCCAGCCAGGCTCAGTGGCTCAGCTTGTAATCCTGTGCCTTTGGGAGGCTGAGGTGAGTGGATTGCCTGAGCCCGCGGGTTTGAGACCCGCCTGGGCAGGCAAGACCTCATCTCTACAATAAATCAAAAAATTAGCCGGGCGTGGTAGTGCACGCCTGTAGTTCCAGCTATGTGGAAGGCTGAGGAGGAAGGATCGTTGGAGCCCAGCAGGTCGATGCTGCGGTGGCTGGGAGCGGCCACTGCACTCCAGTCTGGGCGACAGAGTGAGACTCCAACTCAAAAAAAAAAAAAAAAAGAAAGAAAGAAGAAGAAAAAAAATCCAAAGAAAATAGGAACAGAAATAAACAATAGAAAATGAACATAAGAGAGGAAGAAAACCTAGGCGGTAACCTGATGATGTGAAGGTCTTCCCTTGGGGATTTTTGCTCCCACCGATTCTCTTGTGGCTAACTAGTTGTGTGCCCTTGGGGTGGACATTCAATCACTATGACCACCAGAAAGAGAAAGAGAAAAAATAACATCCTTCATGATCCCTTCCGATACTCTGATACTCTGTGGCCATTGCTGAATACAGGGCAGACACGGCCCCATGGCAGACTGCCCTGCAATACCTGCATTCGCTTGCTTAAAACTCTTCAGCAAGGCCAGGCTCGGTGGCTCAGCCTGTAATCCCAGCACTTTGAGAGGCCGAGGCGAGTGGATTGCCTGAGCCCACGGGTTCGAGACCTGCCCATGCAACTTGGCGAGACCTCCTCTCTACAATAAATCAAAAATTAGCCAGGCGTGGTAGCATGTGCCTGTAGTTCTGGCTACTTGGAAGGCTGAGTCAGAAGGGTCACCAGAGCCCAGCAGGTCAAGGCTGCAGTGGCCGGGAGCGTGCCACTACACTCCAGTCTGGGCGACGGAGTGAGACGCCAACTCAAAAAAGAAAAAAAAAAAAAGAAAAAAAAAACCCACACTCTTTAGTGGCTCCTGCAACTTTGAGGATTAAAGGCAAACTCCTCCTTCTGCCTCTGAGGCCTACAACTGAGGGCAGGCACTTCATGGATTCTAATGTTTTACTGGAACTAAATAAAAAACACTGGCACAGCATATCTCTGTCACATTTTCCAGGTCCCCACATTTTAGTTACTAACACTGAATCCCCATGATACTTTTATGAGGTAGTTACTATCATCTACTCTCTACAGATGAGGAAGATCATAGGAGTGAAGAGACATGAATGGTAAAGGATGATGATAGATTGACTTAAAAAATCTAGACAGTCCAAAAGAATGCAACAGAAGGGATTGTATGTGAGTTCCTAACCTAAGCATCAAGGCACCTTGCATGCTTCCTTCAGTCCCTCATGGATCTCTCTGAAACGGCCATGAAAACAAGCCCAGGCTGGAGAATAAGAGACCACATGGAGTTGAGCCAAGTAACCCCAGTTGGCTGAGGATCTTGACTGAGTCCAGACACGTGGAGCTCCCAGCCAAGATCAGCAAAGTCTTTAGCCAGTGTGCAGCTGTGCACAAGTGCATGTGTGAATGAGCCCTGATAAGCCAACCTCATACCAAAATTGCCCAACCAACATGTGAGCAATAATAGATGGCTGCTTGTAAGCCATTGTGTTCTGCGGTGGTTTGTTATGCAGCATTATGGATGCAATAGCGGACTGATACATGGACAGCCAGGACTCAATCTGCACTTTTTTATTTTGCTTCCCAGGCTTGCTCCTTAATCCATCAGCTGCGCATTTTCTATTACCATCCTCAAGCCCCTGAAGACCCTTACCTATAGTCCTCGGGGTAAGTGCTACCCAGAAGAGCAGGTCCAGCTGCTTGCCACTCGTGGGGCTGCAGTTAGAGATGTTAACCCAGAAGCTGTGATGGTGGAAGCGTGGCTTGGGGAGTACCTCGTCCTCCAGACTGAAGACCTCCTCGGCCCGAGTCTGCTGCTCCTGGATGATCATGAATGCACGCCCCGTCTGGCAGACCACGCCAGTTCGCTCCTTGAGGAAAGTCAGGCAGGCCACCTGGTTGCTGGGCACGCTGATGTTCCAGGACACTGAGGCGAGGGATGGTAGGCCCCGGTCCCAGTTAGGGGTCCTCAGGTAGACCTTGTTTTTTGTGTCTGGAGTCACAGTGAAAACGCCTTCCTCTGCAGGAAAGGGAAGAGGATTCAGACAGATGTTTCACTCAGTCAAAATGGAGAGAGAAAGGAGTGATAGGAGATGATGCTGAACTGTGCAGACCAACATCGTCCAATAGAACTTTCTGCGATGATGCAAATGCTCTATACCTGTACTGTCTGACAGGGTAGCCACTAGCCTAATATGTGTGTTGCACACTTACATACAATGTGCCCCGTATGACTGAGAAACTGCATTTTAAATTTGTTTCATAAGCTGGGTTTGGTGGCTCAGCCTATAATCCCGTGCTTTGGGAGGTTGAGGAGAGTGGATTGCCTGAGCCCGCGGGTTCAAGACCCACCTGGGCAACTTGGCAAGACCTTATCTCTACAACAAATCAAAAAGCTGGGCGTGGTAGCGCGCACCTGTAGTTCCAGCTACTTGGAAGGCTGAGGTGGAAGGATCACCGGAGTACAGCAGGTTGAGGCTGCGGTGGCCGGGAGCATGCCACTGCACTCCAGTTTGGGCAACAGAGTGAGATTCCAACTCAAAAAAAAAAAATTTTGTTTCATATTAATTTAAATGTAAATAACCACAGGAAGCTAGTTTCACTGTATTGGTCAGTGCAGGACTAGTCTCAGATTAGAAACTCAGGTCTTTTGAAAAAAAAAAACACTGGCCAGGCTTGGTGGCTCAACCTGTAATCCCAGCACTTTGGGAGGCTGAGG